TTAAGTAAAGTAATGGCATTCTGACCTTAGTACCCGTTCCTATTTTAGCCATCGTTTGACCTTTGGCTGGAATAGTTCGCCATCTCGCATTTTCAGGAGTTCCAACATGAGTATAGCTTACCATGTTCGTGCCCTTAATAGTCCCAGTAAAACACAATTAATTTATGTAATAGTATAAGATTATGGAGCAATGCAATATTCGGTTGTAGGACCTGCTTGGAATAAAATTTCATCAATCAATACGGATTTTCACTAGCTAATAACCAACAGATACGATTTTATTAGTACATTCTATAATTTTTAATAAAGAACTGCTTTCGCAGTCCCTAACCTCACGTATCTACTGGAAAGTTTTTTTCATATTCGTGCATAGATTTCATAATGAACCAAGAGAAACTCCCCACAAAGGTATCTGCAGACGTATAGACGTTCAAGAACCAGTTAGGAAACTCATTGTTTCCCATAAAACGATTATGACAGAAGCTCATGTTTAGTTGTGCTTTATAATGCTACACCCTACTCAGTTCTCAGAAGGCCGAAGACTTTTTCCTCAAACGACGGTTTTTGAATTAACAAAGTAAACTTAATTATATAGGATTGGAGATCTAACAAATGATTTATCAGCCAATAATTGCAGCGAGGTGTACTTCACAAGCAGTTTTACGTAGCCAGGTGTAAACTTGAGTACGTAGCAATCGATAGTACAGTACACGAGAAAATAATTTTACGATTTACCTTCGAGATTACTGAGACTATTTTATTTGCGCCACAAATGGGTACAAAGAACTTGCACTCGAAGCTCAACGCCATGGGTTCTTTACTAAGGCCCAAAACTGTTTAAGAAATGTCGGGGAAGCGTTTAGGTGTAATTTTATATTTACTTTTATAAATTGTAACAAATTCAGTTATTTTTTATTGAAGCAGGAGGTTTCCTTCTGAATCACCTTATTTTTTAATGTGGTGGCCATTTTAGGCCATAACGGAGATTTGTAGTTGGAAAGGTGGGCCTGCTCTGATTCGCATAGATATCGCATTTCGAAATGCGAGACAGACAGGTTTAGGCTTCGCTACATAGTTTATTTTGAAAGAAGGTTTCTTTTGATTCTCATCCTTGGGTGGATAATACACTGAGTCCTTGCCACTAATAAATAGTGACTCAAATTATCTCGTGGTAGCATTGATATGTAACCGATATTATTTTGTGAGCTAAATCAAACCGTCCGACATGTAATTATGTAGCTATTCCCAATACAATGATGCTGAACGAAATTCTTCGTTTAATATAACTTTCAAAACTAATTCAAAGGTGAAAAAGAATTTCAACATTCTGATTTAAATTTTCAATGTGTTACAACTTCCGTTTCGTATAGCGCTTGTTATCTTTAAAAGTGGACTTAGCGTATAATCTAGACTGCACGCTGAAGTAGTCCTTTCTCCCTCCCAGAAGAAATGAGGGAGGCCTTCTAACTCAGTGATTTGTTTGAGGCTCGAGTTCCCATTATGGAATTTAAAGACCTCTGTTCGGGACACCATTAATATTTGAATTTGCTTCCAACCAGCGGAGAATCTTTGCATTTGCCGCTTGCTTTATTTGCAAACGTTGATAAATACAATCGGATACACACCAGTGCATTTTGAACAAACACCATTTCACATCTCCCTCCCCCACGCCATACTTTTGGAAATGGAAAGGAGCATTACAAATGTAACGAGATAAATATTGTAGGGATACTTGTTTTTTACGCCGTAAAATTTCTACGAAGGTTGATTATGAGCTAATTTTTGTTTAAATAAATGAAAATTTAAAGAGCGTACCCTAAATTTGAATTTTTATTTGAAATTCGCATTGGACACTGATGCAATATCATAAACCTCTCCTACCACCTATAAATAACTGAAGTTGTAAATACGAATTTCCCCTTACTATTAGTACTAACAACAGTCGAGGTCAGAAAAGGCATTAAAGAGGTGATCTTCTTTTCCGATTTTGTTACCGCATTGTCCACTAAAATTGAGTTAACTTTTCGTCTACAAAGCTGCAATGTCTTTTGTATCGCTAAGCCTCGAGGCAGGTTTAAATGGCAGTTGTCGAAACTAATATTTGACTTAAACTGTTTCAGTTCCTTTAAAAGCACACATGGTTTTACACGCGCCCATTCATCGATGACTCATATAAAGTCTCTTTGTACTTCCTTCCCACTCCCCCCCCCCCCCCCCACCCGCTTTGGTTACATACATGGTCTTCTCTCATCTCACTCTGTCCTTATCGCGGTTCATCAATACTATTTGGCCTTCACAGCCCCCTTTGTCGTGGATAGCTGCCAGACCTTAGTCAACTAAGATTCTGATTTCATTAGACTTTTGGTTATGGTTTATACAATATTAACTTAATGAGTGGTTCATATTTTAAGTTCAGATTTTTTGCGTTTCCGCCTGGATTGCAGCAAACTCCAATCTATGTGTCCAGTGGCTGTTGCCCAGTTTAATCATGATGGTCAGCCTTGCCGCTTCAAACCATTTCTTTGTTCTATGGTAGAGAAGTCAAAATATATTTACATCATTTTCAGCACCTTCGAGTTTTAAAACACAGTAATGAAAAGATTGGCTTTTTTAGGTAAGCAGAGCTCTGTAAACTGAGATAGGACTTTATTTCAGACTAGGAAAATACTCATAGAACGATCCTCTTTCATGATAAACTCGAACATGTTCAGAAACCACTTAATTGACAGAATGGTTCATTATAGTTGGCAAAATTCAGATTCACTTAGCTTTGATAGGCGAATTTAATTTTCCAATCATTTAATCTAAACGTAAAGGTGGTAAATGTTGGCAAAAATTTCCAACCAAAACAACTATGCTTTTGTTCAACCATGCGTAAGCTTTGATACTTCTATTCTTGCCTCTAATTAGTACGTTTAATCGTTAACGAGAAACTATTTTCGAAAACGTTTATATTGAAACTTGGTATTCTCTTGATTATGTCGATTCTCGTATTTGATAAATTAGGGCTATTTGAAGTTTAAATTGGCGGCAAAAAGGGAATGTTTTTGGAGGGAACCGCACATTTGGCATTCATGGAAAGTGGAACAGTCTACTGCTTGTGGTGAGGTTACGTCCTGCTAAACCGCGTAGTCACTGGTGTGGTTGATGGAATAACGATTACTGTTACTTGAGAAATGGACAATGTTAAGGTGGAAGTGAAAAAAATCTGAATTTTCTAGGGGGTCCACAATACTTCGCGGTTGAAGAAAAATTATTCAAATACACCAAAAACAATATGAATACGATGATTCTCCCATTTTCGAATGTCTTGAAGAAAATAACCACTACGACAAATAGACGGATACTAATAGGTTTGACGTAAAAAATGTAGAAATCATCTCAATAAATTGGAAGTTGAAGCCCAGCTAGTTGGTACTTCGGACTTAATAAGTACCAATATGTACAAAATGATTAAAAATTATTAGAAAATGTAGAAGCAAAATTGGTTGAAATAATCTCAAAGAAGTCGTTAGGTTTATCTAAATCAAGCATGTGCCCATGGAAAAAGACTTCGGCACCACTAGGCTAGAACCAAAATGGGAGACTTGTCACCACTCAAACTAATACGAGAGCGCCTTGGAACAATGAGAAACAGGGGCTTGAGATATAGTCAACTATGAAAGTGGCAAGGTGATCACGTACCCTAACTTTTGAAAACCCATGAAGATTCTTTTTGTCCTTCCATTTCGGATTACCGACAATATTTTTTTTAAAAAGTCCATCTGCCAAAATTGGGGTGTGCGATAGACTTACCTCCACGTGGTGCACCATGGGCAACGTATACTCTTACGCAAAAAGTCTATTAACCGGCAGTTGACTTCTCACTTCTAACTACCATCACCTCACTCTGTGCCATATTCGACTATATTCACAGTACTCACCTCACCTTTTTCTACCTTTGTGTTTGTCTCTTACATCATTGAAACACTCCTCTGTTCACCCCTCCCCTCTCGTCTTTTTTCAATTTGATGTACCTTCCCCTCTGTGAAGCCTGAAGTCAACTAGCATCAAGACGCCTGCTATTTGATATAAATAAATAAATCTGCCAAAATTCATTCTGAAGTGATGATGGCCAATAATGAGAGTGGTGTGGAGGAAGTAAAAATAAAGCACGAGGGAAGCAACGAAGTTCAGCAAACGACTCTTTGGAAAGAAAAAAAATCAATATCCGAACAAAATAAAAATGACGATTGGGAATTGCGGAGGATGTGGAACAACACATCGGTCATTGGTGCAATCTTATCAATGAAGGCCCCCAGATGCCAAATTTTTTGCACTACCAGCAAATGAACAACTCTAAGGCTTTTGCAGGAATAAAAATAAATAGAGTATACTTGGGACAAATAAAAACATTCTCAGCTATACAAAAAGTAAAGAATACCCTACTTACAATAATTTAAGTATAATCATTTGGAAGACATTTAAAGTGAGAAACTTAGCTATTGAAAACTAATTATAAACACGAACTCTTAAAATACGGTACGTGGGGTGTGCGATAGACTTACCTCCACGTGGTGCACCCTGGGCAACGTATACACATACGGCAAAAATGTCTATAAACTGCCAGTTGATTTCTGACTTCAAACTACCATCACCCCACTGTACGTTATATTCGACCACTTTCACAGTACTCCTCGCCTTTTTTTATACCTTTTCTACCTTCATCTTTGAAATACTCTTCTGTTCCCCCCCCCCTCTCGACTTTTTTTCACTTTGATGTTCCTTCCCCCCCCCCCCTTTGAAGCCTGAAGTCAACTAAAGGGCTAATGATAACCATCAAAACGCCTGATATTTGATATAAATAAATAAAATACGGTACGTACTTGGCCATACATCCGAAATTCTCCCTTCAATTAACCAAATACAGTCAAAAAAACAACAAGACAACATGGCAAATGTTAATTTTGGTAGCACTAGTTGGGGAGTATATTCTACACAAAAAATAAGATTTCCAGAGTTTAGCGGTAGAGATAATCCGCATCAATATTAGCGGCAATTTCAACTTCCCATCGATCACCATTGTCAAGGAGTTTTTCTTTGTTATACATCAACTCTTCGTGGGTTTCCGTCGAAAATTCAAAATTGGGGCCCTAATTGAAAAAATAAAAAATTAACAAACAAATAGGGCTTAACGCAATTAAATTAATAAGCTTAGCATACAAATATCATGGGAAAAAGTACCAACCTCAACAATAGCATCAACAGGACAAGCTTCTTGACAGAATCCACAGAAAATGCATTTTGTCATGTCAATATCATAACGTGTTGTACGTCGACTGCCATCTTCTCTGGGTTCAGCTTCAATAGTAATAGCTTGAGCGGGACAAATTGCTTCACATAACTTGCAAGCAATGCAACGTTCCTCGCCACTTGCGTACCGACGAAGTGCATGTTCACCTCTGAACCGCGGACTAAGGGGACCCTTTTCAAAGGGATAGTTAATAGTAGCAGGTTCCTTCATTAAGTAGCCCAAAGTAATTCCAAAACCCTTAACGATTTCGGTTAAGAGAAGCTTCCGAGCAAGTGTATCCACGCCCTCTGCATACGAATCAGTTTCAAGGGGCTTAGATATAATTTTATAATTTCCAAGACTAGCAGAGCACGCCAGTGTTCGACAGGCAGTCGAAACCAAGGATTTTGCAAAGGAGGGTAAACAACCAGAGGCTAGCATCTTAAATAACCCGCTAGTCTAATAGCGCAATAGAACCGATCTTTTTCTTAGTATTTAACACATGTTTAATTAAACTTTCAATAAAAAAATTATTTAGCTTAAAATCAAACTAATAAATCGTATCAATGTCAATAGTGAATAGTATTTGCAGTTTAATCGAACTGCTTTTGACGCAGTGATCTCAAAATAGCCGCCGTTTGATTTCAGCTTAACTCTCAGAATATGGCAAGTGCAGTACCTCCGGGAGATGCGCCCTCATTTGACAAATCGAAGCGGGCTAAATTCGCTAAGGTATTTTATTTTTTCGTCGTGTATATTTTTAAAGGTTAAAAATAAAACGCCGGCGCCAATTCAAATCACTGCTGAGCAAATTCTCAGAGAAGCCAAAAACAGAGAGCTTGAGGTTGCTCCTCTGGCACCGACACAAAAAATCACAAATCTTGCAGAATTACGTGATTTTCAGTTACGAAAACGAAAGGACTATGAAGATAATATTCGTAAGAATCGACTCGCCATGCAAAACTGGATCAAGTATGCGAAGTTCGAAGAAAGTCAGGGAGAACTACAACGGTGAGTTGGTTGCTTCTTAATTCCTTGTCAACATTTTAGTTTTACATACATTTTCACATGTTACGTTTGTGAGATCTAACATCATTTTTCCGTTTTAGGGCCCGATCTATCTTCGAGCGAGCTCTCGATGTGGATTTTCGAAATATCGGTTTGTGGCTAAAGTATGCCGATATGGAAATGCGTAACAAGCAGGTTAACCATGCTCGCAATCTCTGGGATAGAGCAGTTACTCTTATTCCAAGAGCCAATCAGTTCTGGTACAAATACACTTATATGGAGGAATTACTTGGTAATGTGGCTGGTGCCCGTCAGGTCTTTGAAAGGTGGATGGAATGGGAACCCGAAGAACAGGCCTGGCATGCTTACATCAACTTTGAACTCCGTTACAAGGAATTGCAGCGAGCCCGACTAATATACGAGCGCTTTGTACTAGTGAATCCAGAACCCAAGAATTGGGTCAAGTATGCAAAGTTTGAGGAAAGAAATAACTATATCAATTCGGCTCGTAAAGTGTTTGAAAGAGCTATTGAGTTCTATGGTACAGACAACCCTCAAGCTCGCTTGTTCATTGAATTCGCAAGATTTGAGGAGAGACAGAAGGAGCATGATCGTGCTAGGGTTATCTACAAATACGCTCTGGATAATCTCCCATCGGATGAATGTCCCGAGATTTACAAGGCCTACACTCTGCATGAGAAGAAATATGGTGATCGCCTGGCTATTGAAGGGGTCATTCTCAACAAGCGCAAGTTCCAGTATGAGTCTGTAGGTTATTCATCCTTTGTCTTCCTTTAGTTTTCCTCTGTATAGTCGTTTTAATAGTGCCTCTCTTTTTTAGGAGGCGGAAGCAAATCCACATAATTACGACGTCTGGTTCGATTATGTTCGCCTTATGGAGGAGGAGGGATCGGTTGAACAAACTCGTGAACTCTATGAAAGAGCTGTAGCTAATGTTCCTCCGGTTAAGGTAATTTCTTAGCTTGTCTCATTAAATAACTTGATTTGTGTTGAGATATTTGGTGGGTGGTGATGTTGGTAAACCTTCAATCGATTTCCCTTCAGTTAATCAGCGCGGCTGGTTCTCCACCTCTTGGAATGTACCCTGGTGGTCTCTAACCTCTTACTAAGAGTTTGTCTTTTGTGATATGGAAGAAATTATAGGCAGTTCGTTTTATTAACTTACCTTGTTCTCAATCTTGCATTTCGCTTTAATCGTTTGTATAATGGAGATTCATACATTATTTTAATTATTACTTATTTACCAGATAAATATTAGAAGGCGAAACTGTTGGCTTATCACAACTTAACTTTTAGTAACAGTTGAATCACTCGTTACTTATCTAGATCTGCAATATGTCGACAACCTGTGGAATGCGCGTACTATTTATTATTATTGTCTGCTAAAGTGTAAAGAAACTAGAGCTTTTCACTATGAAGTAGTTTGGTAAAAAATAAGGAATTCGAAGCTATTTGAATGGGTATAATTTTATAACCTAATTTTCCTATTTTTTCTGGTGGATATTGTCTAGTCGATTTATTCATTCGCGTCTCTTTGTAACCATGAGCAAACATTTTAATTGATATCTTGAACCTTGAAATATGCAAAAGTAGTCTTCTCAGGTTTTAATGGTAAGATTTTAGTGGATATTTTAAGCAAAACCTGTACTTACCTCCCCGAGAATGGGTTTAACCAATGCATTAAGTGTTCTTTAATACCTGCCAAAAGATAACTTAAATTTCTTCCAAATTTACTTCACTTGGTTCTTCAAAACAGTCCGTTTTCTGGTTTGCTGAATCTCCCCTTCATTTTTCTGAATGCTTGTTACTGCTTAATGAGTAGTATCTTCGTCAAAGAATAAGGTTGCATTGACCACACTTAATTATAGATTTGGAGAAGATTGTGAATTTTTATTGACCTTGGTCTCATATCTACTGCTATTTTTACCAATGAATTGGCTTGCTCACTGTTGCTTTACTCTTTTTATCTTATAGGAAAAACGATACTGGCGTCGGTATATTTACTTGTGGATTAACTATGCTCTCTACGAGGAGCTGACAGTGGCAGATATGGAGAGAACACGCGAGGTTTACAATTTCGCCCTTCGTCTTATTCCTCACAAAAAATTCACCTTCGCCAAGATGTGGCTCTATGCGGCTAAATTTGAGATTCGTCAGAAACAACTCACTGCCGCTCGCAAGCTTCTTGTAAGTGCAGCACAAAAGTGATCAATTATGTCATCTGGTTGTGTTCATTTATATCTGGCTTTATTTGAATTGAATAAGAAAAATTAATGGAAACTGTTATCAATTTATCTGCTTATGCTCCGGCATCGAAATGCCCATATGAAAATTATTATCGCGAAGCATTTAGTGACATAGGGGTGTTATAATCATTCGTATCATTTTATTTTTTAAAGGGTAAAATTGTGATATGTGAATAAGATCTCGATAGTTCTACTCCAAAGCTGGAATTTCTTTAAATTTCGTGTTTTGTCCAACCTATCTGCGTTCAGCTTCTTGTTGTTGTTTTGGTAAAGGAGTTTTTTCGATTGATTGCAAAAAAGATTTGTGGTTAAGTGATTAATTTATTATATGATTGTATTTACATTCATTTGAGTATAAAAGAGTATAATAACGCACATTAAATGTGACACCATCTAGCTTACACATTTTTTATTCTCAATTGTTTACTCAAATATCATCGGTGCTTCCTTTTTCCAAACAGTTAAAGCTCAATTACTCCCCTCCCCTCAAAGTTTTCCCCTTATATCCGACCTGTTAGAAGTGAGGAATTTGTTTATTCCATATGTATGGCTTGTATAAGATCTTTGTAAATGAATATAGAAACGGAAAAGCCATTTTTCGAAATGTGGGCTCTTATAATACCTAATAGCAGTTCTCCATTCATTCACATAGTCTTTTCTTGCTTTCACAGGGCACAGCGTTGGGCAAGTGCCCAAAGGCCAAGCTTTTCCGTGGCTACATTGAATTGGAGATTCTACTGCGAGAATTCGATCGATGTCGAAAGCTCTACGATAAGTTTCTCGAATTCTCACCGGAAAATTGCACCACTTGGATGAGGGTACGTTATCTCCCCAACTGCTAAACTTATAACATTGTATATTCGTTTAATTGTTTCACTTCCTTGCCAATTTTTAGTACGCTGAAATGGAGGCTTTATTGGACGAAGTTGAGCGAGCACGGGCTATCTACGAATTGGCAATTTCTCAACCTCTTTTAGATATGCCTGAAATTCTATGGAAGGCCTACATCGATTACGAGATTGAACAAAGAGAATGGGATCGTGCAAGGGCTCTCTATCGACGTCTTATGGAAAAAACCCAACATGTTAAGGTAAACTTGATTGAATGTCATTAATATGTACTTTTAACTATTCATGTCATGCAAATTTTTGTGCATCATAGAATCATTAGAAATCTAAAACTGGAGGTATGGCTACCCCCTGCTTTCAAATATACTTTTAGATTTCATTGAGCTTCGTAAGGGCATCAACTTTAGGGCAAACTTAAGGGACTCGAAAATGTTGAGAAGTTTGGTGGTTTGAAGTATTAACGGGTCACTATCGTGTTACTCGGTGATTCATCTTTATTCGAGATCAGACTAATGCATCGAAACCGTTTTGGATTCAGTTTGGATAATTCCCTCGTCAGTTGGTGAATATGCTTCAACACATTCCACTATTCTCTTTTAAGCTTAGGATCTCTATTGTAGCTCGATAGGGTAACCGTTCACGTACTATCCAGCCGATTGTGCCACGCTAATTTAGTAACTGTCTATAATTGATGGTGAGTAAATGGGACTAGCTACGATAGATTTGACGTCGCTTTCTTCATTATAGCTTATACTAGTGGCTAAATTCGCGTTTCAGATAGTTTTAATTATTATAATTTAATTACAAGTTTATGGCTAAGTTTAAACTTTAAGAAACTGAACAAATGGCTCCAAACCTCTCTATCACAACCTCTTGCTAGCGTTTGATTACCATTTGGCGAAATTTTTCTCATAACTGAGCTTGTTTTGCTGTTTTTAAAAATCCTCCTATCACAGACAAATTATTAGAACGTCCAGTAGGCGGTGAAAATATATCCCTAGAAAGCACGTTCGCTTAGAGGAGTGATGTAAAAAACTATTTTTATTTCTAAATCAGGTCTGGTTGAGTTTGGCCAACTTTGAGCTCTGTGCCCAAGACGCGATTGTGGTCGAGGAGGGTAGTGCTAATGCCGAAACTGCTAGGGAATTTAATGAAAGTGAAGCTCGTACAGCAATCGAGCGCGCTCGTGCTGTTTACCGAGAGGCCAATCAAACCCTCCGCAAATCCTCAGAAAAGGAGCAGCGTGTTCAACTTCTTGAGGAATGGAAGACCTTCGAAGAGGAATACGGCAATGAAGAGACACGCAAGGAAGTCTCCAGCTTCGAACCCCAACGTGTGATTCGCAGTCGACGATTGGAAGAAGAGGGAGCAGCCGGGGGTTGGGAGGAGTTTGTCGAGTACATATTCCCTGACACAGCAGCTGAGCAACCGAATAGGAAGCTTCTGGCCATCGCCAATAAATGGGCTGCGAGACATGAGGGTTCTGATGGCGATTCGGACACCAGCTCTGAGAGTTCAGATGATGATATTGATAATGATGATGCTGAAGGCACTAATCAGGAGGAGATTCGATTGCCTTCGGAAAATGAGGAGATGGATGAGTAGTAAACATTTCTGCGTTTGTGTACAGAAGGGACCACTGTTCTCTCTTTTCGTGTATATTCTTTTGAAATGAATTTTTGCATACCACTTTTAACTGTGCCTACTTTTGTTGGAGACGTTTATAGCACGAAATGTTACAGTTTAGTTGTGGTCTATGTTGGATTATTTTATTTCGAAAGTGCAGAGGGAAAGTGGCGGTCTTGTGAGAATTGAAAATATGACTGTGTATTGGCAAAAGGAGAAATGGGACCGGCGCGAAGGAAGTAGGAGGAAGGGAGCAGGGCACTTTGGGGAAAAAAAGAAACTTCACACGACTTTCCTTAACGGAAGTATTAGAAACTCACCTTTTTCTCAAATAAGTCCATTATTGAACATAGCTGATAAGAGATTTCAATGCTTACTCCGAATCCAACTGCTTTTTTACTTACTTTTTTAATCGTTCTCGTATTAAAGTTAGAAGTTATTGAAGGAATTTAGGTAGATGAATAAATGAGGATAGCTGGTGATGCAAAGGCTCCACTAGTAGAGAAATGACTTTTTCAAATATAACATCAAAGTTCTTACTAAAACAGCAGATATTGGATAGATTTCAAGTTCTTTATGAAGCAGGAGAAGTAGTGGAGATTCGTTAGAGAATTCGATAACTTAGAATAAAATCGTCAATCATGGTTTTCAGTAATCAGTCTTCTTTGCGAAACACTACCAATTGGAATCGTTTTCCAGTCTCTTCCTTATACAGACCGTTTCAGCAATATTCTAAGTTAATTCCCTATCAAGTAGAGACTCCACATCGTGGAAGTTTATCTTTGACTAATTAATGTCGAATGTACCTAATTCTATATTATTAACTTGTCAAGCCAACTCCTAACTTAGATGGATATCTTGAAGCCTTTCTTATGAGGAACCCATATTCCACCATCTTCTATTTTATTAAGACTTCACGGTGCACTTGGGAGAGTACACAATTCGCATTCTTACAAAGGAAGAACCATCTTAAAGTAACTAAAAAGCAGCCTCTCTCCTTAATGCTAAGGTAGCAAATAGCTTATTTTACACGTTAAGCTAGGTTATAAAAAGGCGAAATTTATACTAAACGATTTCAAAAATTTATTTATCAAAATAGATGCTATTAACACGGATGACTTGAACTTGCTTCTTGTAATGCAGTATCAGTGGGTTGAGACTTGTTCTGGAAGCCAGAGAATAGATGCTTCACAAGTTCTTCCATCCATGAAGTACCAATTTCCTTTCGGTTTGCCTTTGTGAGACAGACCCTATAAAAAATCACTAAATCAGGTAAAAATGTGATGAAAAACAGCAGTTCCGAAGAAGCTAAACTAACTTGAATGATTTCTTGAGAAATTATACCACCCATAATTGCATTTACTGAAACGATGGGATCACCAAAACAGGAACTGTAAGGATAAAAAGAGGCTTATTGAAAGTCTTAGAACACAGAAAAAGCGACCAATTTATATTTTTACTCGATATCATCATCTGATAGCGAAGACACGGGGAAACCTAGGCGTAGAGCAACTTTAGGCCATTCCTCCTTTAGAGACTGGTTCGACAGAGGATCTTTCAAGGAGGATAACACTAAAAAGGAAAATAAGCATTCCTTCTAAACCGCCTAGATTTCAGAAATGATATGAACAAGAACATACGATGAGTAAGGAAAAATGCCTTTGGCATCCGTTTCAGATTAAATTGACTGTTTGCTTTACCGTTCCAATCGGCATCAAAAAATGCACTCAGAGAAGGATAATCTACTGTCTGATAAAGTAAGAAAAACACGCGTTCACATATTACCGATAAGTGAGTGTCTCCATTCGACTCAGTCTTTGTCTTAGCATCTGGTAAAATCGTGAACTCATCTCTAATATAAAAATAGTAAAGATATTATTGACGGAACAAACCCATCGAAAGTAAAGCGACCAAGATCAGCGAAGCCTATAGCATACATTCCAAAGGATACGACACAATGGATTCTAGGTCTATTAGGCTTACTACAAAACTTTTCAACATATTTCAACCAGTTTTTGAATGTTTCACTACAAAGGTCCAGTGATATAATAATTTCATCGTAATCCTGATAATTTTCAGCAAGGAAATCTTCGCTGACATTATCTTCGCATTTAATATTAACTTTTTCATTCAGCGAGTGCGCTCGAGCGAATACAGACTTATTCCGCTAAAAGGCACATGATTAATGGTGAAAGGCGACGAAGCGTACCTTAGTATTCAGATGTGATTCGTCAAATAGAAAGCAGCTATCGATATCTGTTCTGTTTACGAGTTGGTCATCACATAAAACCAAAGTATTAACTCCACATAAGACTATATTTTTTATGATTTCGCCAGAAATAGGTGAAAGACCTATAAGAAGAATTTTCATTCTCATCAATCGAGTCTGCGCCTCCAAGCCCCATAAACGAATTTGACGGTCGTACAAAGCAGTCTCATCTTCAGACAATTTATCTTGCGTACTCATTTTTAGCAAGGTAACCAATTAGATCGTGAAAACGAAGTTCAACTAGACCGTAATGCGATAGGCAGCTTTAGGAGAAACTTAAACTCAAGGACAGTGATTATTTATTCTATTCAACTTTTGTTCAATGATAAAATTCAGCCTACTGACAAATTTCCTAAAAATAAATAACAAGTGAGTTTATTAAAAATGAATATATTGGATGAATCTAAATATTGGTGACGAAATCAACCTTTTATATTTAAAGAAAAACATGGAATATAGTTACCTCACTGCTACACTTTTTCTGATATTTAATAAAATAAGGTCAGATAATCAAATGTATAATTTTTATCAATATATGTTTTGGAACAATGCCATCTATAAAAGAATATCGACGTGATGTAAAGCTTAATGTTAATGTAAGGGTAGTATCTGTTAATGAACAAAGCCAAATGTTCACTGAGTGAATTTTATTGCAGAAAGCATAATAGATGGCATAATTTTTACCTAACTCACTCAATTTTTGGCCCTAAATCGTTGTTTGTGGAGCGCTAACCTGTTTGTGATAAATTTATATAATCCAAATTATGAAGAAGGCAGATAGATAGCATTCATATGAAGGAAATTATAGATACATACTTCCACTTTATGCTATTATTATTAACTTCTTTAGTGATATATACTTAATATAATAAAATTAATAAATACGTCAAAATTGTTCTATTACATAATTTCAGGTTTCCGTCCGTTTATACTTACTGATGAGCCAATCCATCCTTGTTTATACGTCTTCCTATCACGACTCGAAAATCACAAATATCGATAAGAAATACATTAAATTTTCTTTAATGGAGAACAATAAAATAAATCATAAATAAATCATAAAAATTCGCATCAAAATGTTTACACTCTCAGTTGGAATTCGCTTGAAGTACGACTTGTTAGAAGTTTTCGACACCGGAATCAGAAAGATCAGAGGATATTCTAGATATTAAGAAACATCACAAAAATAAACTTATAATTTTTTAATAATTGTATTCGTTTATTAATGGGGATAGACTTGTACCGTAAGCTTTGATTAAAACATTAAATGAATCACTCAAACACAATCTATTTTAAATTATTGTAAAAATTGGAAAATGTAGCTAACTAAAAATTTAAGCACATTTTGTCTGAATTGCTTGACCTGCGCTATTATTGTTTCATCACTCTAAATATATGTAATTCACCTTGACATAGGAAGCGTTTTTTCGACATGGACTTTCTACTCGTTGATTCAGTATAAAAGCCTATTGAATAACCCTTATAGCGTATACTATTGTCTTACACAATCAATAAACTCGAAAGTAGTTAAAGTGACAAAATATCGGTAAAGTACAATTACTGTTGTTGAAAATATGACGGAAAATCTAACGAGAACACCAGATGCGACAAACAGTTTTGATAAATCGCAATTAGCTAGCCTGATTCCATTTCATTGCGATATTATTTGTGATGCTGTTGCCATACTATTCAAAGGTGTTCTTGGTAAATGGTTAATGGTGTCGTCCGGAGTTGCAACTCTGGAAGCCAATAAAAAAGACAACATGTTACATATTTGTATCTACTCCCTTACGGTATGTTTATTTTCTTTTAAGTGCTTCTTTTATCTTCTTAGTCAATATGTTCTTATTGTTTAATTTTTTCAGAAAAGACTGAAGGATTTCGATACAAAACTGTTCAAAGAAATGAGTTATACTGTTTCCTCTTCTCGATTTCATACTTTTTCTGATGGCGAAGATTCTTACGGTCTCTCGTTTTCTAATGCCACTGATGCTCAGAATTTCTTTGAGCATACTAAGGGTTTCCTATATTCAACACCTCTAATAACTCCCAGGTTATCATATGGAACTACATCTAAAGCTGGTAGGACAAGCCGAAGAAGTTCTGGCCTTTTCCTTGGTAAATTAAAGAATAAAGTGAGTGAAGTACCAATAGCTAGCTTATCTCATAATACGGCAACAATTGGAGACATCATAGGTCTAGTAATATGTTTTATTTGGTTATTTTTAGAAATCCAATAGGAAAAATGATAAGGTTTGTTAAGTTTAATTTTGACAATGTACCTTTTATTGATATTATCGATTAAATTTTTTAATTATGGAATTTAGAAACCGAACATTGAGGTTAAAGTGAATACCTTTAAACACGTCAGTCACGTTGGTTTCACAGAAAACGCTGGATTACAAGTTACCGCTGAAACTGAAGAACTAGCAAATCAACTCATTAAGGCTCTCAATTTAACAATTAATGACGAAAAAGAAATGCAATGTGTTAAGGAAACTATCAATAAATTCGGACCAAATCAAGTAAGTAAATAGCTTTATGTGAAAATCGGTAAATAAGCCCCTTCGGGTATTGGCCATCTTTATATCTACTTAGAAGAGAATTTTAGTATGATGTATTCTACTTTAATTGTCAAAGGAGAGGTAGAGGGAGTTTCTGGCTTTTAAAGCAGAGGAAACAATTCAAACCACCGTCCTTCCTAGTTTTGCTCATTTGAGATAAAACGGGCTTATAGAACTTGAGATTAGCGAGTTAAAATTGTTGTCAATCAAATTAATAATATAACCAAAATCACAGAATTTAGATGACGGAGGAACGAATCAAACTCAGAAGTAAGGATTGCAATCATATAACTAACTTAATCTCAAATATTCCAATGTAAAGAGTTCAATTCTAAGCATAATTTTAGGAAATAATAAAGAATTCACTTATAATATTACTAGCTATTCGAGGTAATCTCTACCCATCTGGATTTTGATAAAACTAGTAATAATCTAAGGCCATGCTAATTGTGGATAATCCATTTATTTAAAACACTCCCAAAACAGAAAACCCTTATTTATTTATTTATTTTACAGTTTCTTAAACTAGTTGCCTGAAGTATAATTCCTGGCAGTTCTTGTGGATCTAAACTGTCCCAAAAGAAGCTGGAGGGAGGAGAGAGAGGGGGGGGGATTGAAAGGCTAGTGATAACGGCCCAAAGGCAAACACAAGGTATATGTAATTATTAGTAAGAGATTTATGTAAAGTAAATATGATCTAAAATCTTTCCCGAGATAACAAAAGCATCACATTTTAAAATGGCTAGTTAATATTAATTCCAAAGCAATATCTGCTATCACAGAAACTACGAAACCTCTTTCTTAAGTAAAACCTGACAACAGTTTAGGGAAAGCGTCGAAAAGTGACTATAACTTTATAAAATTATTGAAAATGACGCTCGCACACTAAACTGCTCGTATGATTTATTGCGATACAGCGTCCGAAGTTTGAGTTGAGCTGTAATGAATGTTCACTATATAGCACAGTGAGAACCTGTGGTTTTCTCTTTCTCTCACTGAGGTTTAGGTTTAAATCGCATAACGCGTGAGGAATCTAGCTGAAGTGCTGGTTTATTTCCCCCCCCTCCCTTTGATTCTCATCAACTTTCTAGCTCTTCGATTTGCCCAATTTTCGCCGTTGTCTCATTTATTCGAGCTTTAGTCTCTCTCTCTCCCCCCCCCCCACTTCTCTCACTTCTACACCTTACACTTGGCACAGTCCGGTTGCCTTGACTCTGCTCACTCTCTTCCTATAAGCAGTTGGCGAGGACTACAGCCAAACGCGTAATTTCTGTCTTTCTGTCAGGTCTCTTTCAAAACATCTATTGCTAAATTCTTGCTTAGTTTTCTAGCATAACATCTACTTGATCAACTTAATTGCATAATTATATAATGCTCTTATTTTTTACCTCAACTTGGATTCCCCTTTCAGCTACTACAAAGTCGTAAAAATGTATTCAACATGGCGGTCAAATGCAGTCTCACCTAATTTATAAGTGGCCTCCTTTAGAAACTACTCTAAAGTAACATTATTGGAATAAGTTTTGTGTCACACGATTCCTGCTTCAACCACCAACTGGGATGCCAAATAATTAGATCTTGGAGTAATGTTTGCAAGAAATCTGTTTTTACAGCTTCATCAGGAGATGTCATGAGAATATTCTGAGCCCGGTGCTTCAGACATGATTGAAAATTTCAAAGCCGGGAAAGGCTTATCAGTTTAAAAGAAACATATTATTATAAATTGTAAGCACATTGCTACAATAGAACTGAAAGTATTTTGAGGCGTGGCTCGCAAACGCACAGGTCAATAAGAAGAAAAGGGAAGTAGTGAATAAATTGAACTTCAAACATACTCGACGTTACAGTCCCATTGGGGATTGTAACGAGGTGGCTGACTCCAATCTCAATTCTTTCAAATATCCTGTAATGAATATTTATTTAGACAGGCCCCCTGAAACATAGTTAGTGTCACCTGCATCGATAAGACAATTCGTAATTGTCTGGAAACCATCACCGTATTAAGACTACATTCATGTGTATTCCCGGGGTCATTGCATTCAAACTGGTTTCTTGAGATTAATTATCTGTATGCGTATTTCTAAGCCCATATCTGCCCTCTTAACGCCTTAGAGTGCATGGCTATTGATTGCCAAATTTATTTTTATCTTTTTCAAATAGGTAAAGAAGGCGATGGAGCAAAAACGACAGGCCCCTCCGGTCCCTTCAACTCAACAACTACCACCTCCATCATCGCGACAACTACCACCTCAATCACCTCAACAACTACCACCTCCATCATATCAACAACTGCCACCTCCATCACCTCAACAACTACCACCTCCATCATCGCGACAACTACCACCTCCATCACCTCAACAATTACCACCTCCCCCACCTCCTCCTCCCTCTGCCCCACCTACATCTATACTAAGTCCAAAGTCTAGCCATGGAGTTCTATTGGATTCTATCGTTAACTTCAATCCGAATAAACTAACAAAGGTATTTACTACTGCCTTCATTATTGTCCATGACGGTGCGTGAAGTGTTCCTTCACGCTTCCATATTATGAAAGCATTATATAGTCCTTATTTGCATAAGGAGTATAACCCACTATGCAATGTTAGGGTAACCGAATCAGAATACCAATAATTGTGAGTTGACCTGATTTTATTGTACAACAGCAACCAAAGTTCGAATGAGAGTGAAAAAGGAACGTAGATTAAGTAAAGGCGAAACTGAGGTATCATGGATAGGATGAAAGCATAGATGAAAGAACGAAAACGAGGATTCAGGAGAGATCATGTGAGAAGAAATTTTAAGAGCAATTTAATTGAATTTGTAGCTTTTTGGAGTATCTTTGAGCTCAATCTAGCCAATTCCTCAAGATTGTACAATTGAAAAATATTGGTCTGTCTTTAATTTCAGGTAAATACAGTCGAAAGAAAGGAAAGTACGCCAGATTTAATGGATTCAATTGAGGAAGCGCTGATTCAAATGTTGAATCAGAGGAGAGGTCGTCTAACGCAAAATGATACTGATGATGATGATGATGATGATGATGGATCGGACTTCTAACTTAAAAAAGGCAACTATTTTCTCTCTCTCTCTCCCTCACACACACACACACACACACACACACACACACACACACACACACACACACACACACACACAGAGAGAGAGAGAGAGAGAGATTTCGCCATCCATTGAATTTGATATAGCAAATTCCCTCTCTATTTTTGTCAATTTTGCATTACTGGTATAATCGTATTTATAATTTATTTACTTATTTAAAATGGGGGGTGTTTTGATAGTTACCATTAGCCATTTAGCTGACTTCGGACTTCACAGAGGGGAGGAGCATCACAATAAGAAAAAGTCGAGAGGGGGGGGGATAGAAGAATGAATTACAGATGTAAAAGCGACAGACAGACAAAAAGGCAGAGAAAAAAGATGAGATGAGTACTTTGGTAGTGGTCGAATATGGCATACAGAAGGGTCATGGTAGCTTGAAGTCAGAAATCAACTGTCGGTTAATAGACTTTTTTGCCGTATGATTATACGTTGTCCAGGGTGCACCAAGTGAAGGTAATTCTTTTGCGCACCCTCCGTATGTATAATAAAACAGAATATCGAACAAAGCACATATTTATCAACTTTAAAAAGAAACCACTTATAAATGTAGGCATCAATATGCTCAACATCCACCTTTTCAATTAAAAATTGGATTAAATTTTTTATCAATTATACTGAGACCTGTCTCTAGTGCTCCGAAATTTCGGTGAGAGAGGTCACTGGTTTTCGCTAATTTCTATTTGTTCGTGGATGTGAAGGTGTTCTCATAACCATTTTCGAACGGCTTGGCCATTACACCCATAACCATTGAGTTCGTGCACACACGAGCATGCACCAACTGTTTATTAACCATTGAAAAGCGATTCCACATATTTAAATACATGACACTCGGCTTCGTTTGGATAGAACGCTTAAATACTAACAAAATTGATATGTTTTCACTTCGTGTGTAATCGACTTTTAATAGAATCCCAAACTGGTCAATATTTAAACGTGTGCTTCTGCCTAACACCTTGTTAGAAGCACCTTTAACATACCAACTTTTTAAACAATATTTCTGTTTAAATGAAGTTAATTTCTCATATCTTAAAACATTAAAATGAAAGGTCTACACTTTCGCCTCGGTGCTATTTTTCTAAGAGTTGTGATCAATGATGTGCAGAAAAGAAGCACCAATCTTTTTCAGTGAATGTGCCAAGATTGATAAAAGTCAGAAAACCAAGGTGAATTCTTCGACTTAAACTTATTGGTCTTGGATTCGAAGAAAGAATAATTCAATTTGACCTAATCAAAACAAAACTAATTTATGAAAAGAACGCTCATGAAAACTTAGGACTTTGGGTTTTCGTTTGAGAAAAACTGATACTCGTGTTTACAGAAAAGACTTCTGGGAGGAAAGTGAGCAACCAATGGACAAGATAAATGACATATCGGGACTAAAATATGGCAGTACAACTCCCAAGCCAAGTTAAAATATTTTAAGTAACTTCAACCTGAAAGGTTCTTACCCGCTTCGGCATTGCATTAACATCTCCATCAAATAGATGTATTTGACTTGATTACCCCATTATAAATATATATATATATATATATATATATATATATTCCTGTTTCTTGTTTTAAAATTTACAAAAGGAAATGTTATGAGCACAAGCTATTTGGATGCCAATTTCGGCGACCGTTGAGGATGAAATTGCATTGGGAAGATAAGTTACCTATGAAGGAAAGCTTCTAACATTCTTCAACATAAAATCGGTTAAAATTCATTTACTATCACAATAAAGCGTACATCTGACAAGGACTCACATTTGGATGCTCTGATGATGGCATTAATCTTAAGGTGACTATATTTTCATTGATTTATTCTCAGATCTGTTGAAAAACTTTAATCAGGCTTAAAATCAGATTAACTTTTACAATCATGCAAATTCATTATATCACGAAAACAACTTGAGGTAATTTAATTATGCGTGAGTTATTTATAATCTCAAGAAGCCGCTAGACTTTTTTTCATTTTGACATAGGCTAAAAATGAGAAGAGTCAACTCCACAACATTTTAAGGAAAAAATTTTCGCGCCTTGTTCCATTTTTGTTTGTATTTTCTAAATATTGCACACTCTTGCAGAGTATTTTTTCCCCAGACATGACTGGAGTTCTGACGTGATGAGATTAGATTTATTAGATATGAACAACCCAAATTAGTATTGTTACTGCCAGTTAGTCTCCCCAACCAATCGATTGCATGCCTGGACTGGTTAATAACACAGAATTACCGTAATATTTGAAATTTTGAAGTAACTAGCATTAAGATACCTCTTTTTCATAACTTAGCTTAAACTTTAAATTGCAGCCAAAAAGCGAGAAGAGGGGTACAAGATCTAGTAAGGGTATTACTTTAATGAAGTGTGTTTGGGTGTGGAGGGCATTGAAATTAGTATACATTTGAAGTGACTTAGACAGACGCTAATAGGAAGAAATCACAAATGGAATGGAGATAGGCGATAAAAAGCAAGTAGGAGTTGGCGATGGGAGCTAAAATAGGAGTCGAGTTGATATTGCGGTGGAATACACTTTACCATGGCAAAGACCGATGAAGTAGTTACAAAACGGTGGTGGATACCTGCTTGCCATTGAAGAATAAGCCCCTTACAGCTAAGTATTTAGAAAGAGCTTTTTAATCAGAAAGTGCGAAGGATTTTCTTTTTTTCAATGATTCCACAGTCAGTTTTACTTCATATGATTATTAAATCGACAAAAAATCCCATTGAGCATATTGTGGAGTATTTGAAATGCTTCCACGTTTGTTTTACCAATAGCCATTCAGTAACTGATAAATTTGACCCAAAATTGTTTTATTTCTGCCCGTTCCAGTACATGTTGACTTCTGCCAGCGTAGGCATCTAATTCATTCAAAATCTAGTTAATTAATGCAAAAAAAACTGTGATTAAATTTACTTTTAGCTCCAAAAACATGGCGACCCTCTCTTAATGAAATCTTTACTATCGAGCCAAGTGGATTGCGTGTCGTAAAGTTAGGAAACCGATACGGCGAAGAATTGATTCAAAGATTTCTTTGAAGTGCTTTGAGCCAACAAATTGAATTTACCTCTTGATCCATTTCTTATAAAATGTCTTTATTAATCACATTTACTTGTTCTATTAATAGAGAATTGATTGATTCCGTTAAGGTAGCTTCTTTTTTAAGTTTTAATTTTAAATATAGAGAAAAGAATGGTTGAAGAATTTAGTGATTAAAATAGATTTTGTTTCGCCTTATAAAATATTTAGATTGAGTTTACGGATATTTCAGAGTGAAAAGTTCTTTTCAAGTCTCATGAAATTCAGACAAGTTGATTTTTTAACTACTTAGAATGCATAAAGGGAAAAAATTCAACCTCTGCTTTGCAAATTTGGTACAGAGCTGTCACTCCTCTGCCTTGACAACATTACAGGCGGGGGGGGGGGGGGGGGGGGGGGGGGGGGGAAGAGGAGGAGGGCAGGCTTGGACACGCCTCTATTTTTCGATCTCAGATGTCTAACTCTCACTCGGGGCAACAAGTTCCGATTGGAAGTGTGTATACAATCATTATATTTTGAGTAATTAAATTGTCGCTGTTTTATATCGTTCCACCAAAACAGATGACTTAATTCATTAAAAAAATTTGAGGCTTTTATCAATGCTATTTCAGTAAATAATTGTGGTGGAAGAGTATCTTAAATACAAACTTATTGAGGGCAATTGTACCGATGGGGTAGTATTGGAGTTGTTTGGCTTGGAATTCAAGGAGTACTAAAAATGGAATGCACAATCATAGTATTAAGGATCGAATGTTTCATAGCTCAACTCCAATCTAAAGTCTTAAGTTGACAAGTGCACATTTACTTAGAATACTAATAGCTAATAATAAATAGGTTTTTAAAAATGGTTGCCTACTTAAAAAGAAGCCATCATTGTTACATTTGTTTAAAACAAAAAATATGACATTTAACCTTTTAATATGGTTTCGACTTTCTGTTCCCTGCACTTTCATACTAAAAACACCATCAAGTATAAAAATAGTCCACCGTTTGTAAGACAATTGTTAAAAAATGGGCCCATTTTTTCTCCTCTTCAAATAAACCAATACTTTCTGCGAATAATGATTTTGGAAGCATTCATACATAAGAGGTTGCTGTTCCTGTATGATCAAGCAGCATTGAGGAGAAAAGGAATTTGGCTTGACTTCACAGAACTGAGATTTCTTCTTTTCATCGATAAATGAAATTCTACTGTGTTCTTTATCAACTTTTATATTACTAGGTTGCTACTTTCAATTATTTAGTACAATGTCAATTTCACTGTGAGCTTCGAACTGAGGCGTGAAAAATCTGATAGGCTAAGTGAAATTACACTTTCATGTTTATTCCTTCACCTCGATATGAATATCACCAACTCTCTTGCGAACGCAAACCTCTGGTAATGTGTGCGTGTGCGAGCACACTTTAATTAAAAGACCAGGTCAAATCATACTCTTTGTGAAAAGGCTAGTTAAGGATATTTTAGTTGCAGGTATTTGAAATTTAAAAAGCATACTTAAATATGATTAATTGAGAATCATAATTCAATCTTAGCATTTTAAAAGAAGTCACGCCAATAGTATCATTAATCCCAATGCTATTGCTATCACCACTATTTTGAATAAATTATTAGCGTGCCTTATTTTACACCGTATTTCATATCTCATATCCTGAATTCGAAAGATGGCCTTCATTCAACATTTTGAAGTTCAATTTCGAGAAAGGTGAAATACACCATTACATTCGTAATTATGGATGAAGGCTCCATTATTAGAAGGGTTTGAATTTATAATTAATCATGCAAGAAATTGGATTTAGAGGCTAAGAATTACTCAGCATGTGTTGGAGAGCATTTTTAGCATCTACGTTTTGAGTATGAATAACTCAGTTATTTTGTTCTGATTGGTTCGTTTTTAACCAATCATTTAACTGAATGTGTTTA